CATCACTAATTTCACTGTCATTGAATTCTTCAATCCTTTTCACTTTTTAGTTTTATTTTTAATTGTGCCTCTATCTTTTTCTCCATTTGGTAGGCAAATCGACTATTTAGAAATGTTTCGTAATATTATTGCTCTGGTTAATTAATCTAATGAAGAGCAGTAATGAAATCAGTTTTAATTTGTTAGTATCTTATGTTACGACTGAAGAAGACTGAAGCTTGATGTGAATTACAGAAAAAAGTTGATCATGATGCAAGCAAAAAATTATTGTTCAGATTAGATAGTATTTAGTAATCTTTCTCAAGACGGTAAAGAAATATATTAAAATGAATGCAAAGGAATATGTTACGGTAATTTTCTGTGAATTTGAAATCTCATTATTGCAGACAAATGGTCTCTCTACCAACATTGGTCAGGAAATCTTACACTGCACCATTGCTTAATAATCAATCACTAGTAGGTTTGGGAAGATGTTCGTATTGAAAATAAAGTTGTGAGTTATTCCTACTTTTGCAGTTCCATTAGCATTAATTATTCATGCTTTTATTAACATTTTTCGACATTCTTTTAATTTTAGAGTTTATTATTAACTATAGAACTTCAGATTTTAGCTCGACCCAGAAGTTGAACTGCTTGTTAAAATGATTTTCTCAATAGCTATTACTTTTTTAATTTGATATAAATTTCAATGCAAGTGTTGCAACGGGTTACATAGATTTTGGATTGTTTTAGAACTTACAACAAAAACTTACTTTTAGAACTTTTTTTTAGAACTTTTCAAAACTGATGGGATTAATGGATAACTGCATCATATTGACTCACATTCATAATCATACTTGATTGCTGTTTAAATTGGGAATAAAGTTTTTTTTTACAAACCTTGGAAATGCAGACCGCAGTTCCCAGTGCTAATGGGTAATCGGGAACCATGAATTAAGCGAAATGCTAAAGGTGGAATTCGATTCACATGTTGAAGCATCTAAATCTTCTAGCATTACTTAATCGTTTGATTACGTTATGAATTGTTCACCATTTTTATGTGGTAATAATAGATGAAACTTCAACTGTAGCAGAATGATAGATTTTTGGGATTCCGATCACAACTTCACGAATGCAATTGAATGATGAAAACATCATTCGAGTGCGGTTGGGTATGGAGGGACTATGAGATTTGTCAGGAAAATGTAACTGTTAACTGAGACTGATCTTAATATTTTCAATGATATTCTCTGTGATAGTCGTTTCTTCCATAATAGCTATATTTCTCACTAAAGTTCTCCGACTTTATTTTGCTCAGCAGTCACATTTTCAGTTTAACTGGTTCAATATTCTTTTTCATTATAATGGAATTTTTATTCTAAGTAAAAACGTTCCTTAGTCTGCATCGAGAAGAAGGTCTATGAACAGTAATGTTTCGACTTCAGTCGCATTAATACTACGGTGAGTAATCAAACTGTTTTCTTAACATTGTTCTTTCATTACTCTGAGGCATTATCATTACGTAAGCGTAACCGTTGGGTGTTGCAACTTCGAGAAGGTCTATTGTCGTGTGTTCTGCTGCTCTTTGTCAATTGCAATCATTTTTTGCAAATTCGCTTGAGGATAGATTTTCACCTCCATAGCAACGGGAAAGTTATAAACATCTTCCAAAGGCCTGTGTCAAATACCAGGTTCCATTTCATCTTTTCTTTTATAACTATATTCTTGCATCAGCCAATATCCATACAGTGGAATGGATGGTGAGAGGAAAAAATTGCGTTAAAGAACACTTATCAAGGGTAGCAAAAAAAAAAAACGCGGTAACATAGATGGAATAAATGAAGTTCATTTCGTTTCTATGGCGACAAATGATTACTCCCATCCTGAGTATCTTTACTCGATACTCGAAATGATTTTCTGAGGCTATTCTACCCAAGTTCAATAGCCATAAATTGGCTTTGTTTCTTTTTCAGTTATTTATAAAACCTATTTACTTTTCTATTTTTTCTGCTATAAACATGCGTAAGCTTTCCGCTAGAATTCAGAAATTCAAGTTCGTTCTGATCATTTAAGGTTGGATTAATGTTCAGATATTGCTTATTACTTCATCTGAATCATTGCAGAAATGTGTACCGAAACAAAACACTTTCATTCATCCTTAAATTTTTTTATTAAAACGAGTCCAGATGATGGAGATGAGAGTAATATATAAAGCTCGCTAATTGCATTAAAGTGAAGGCTACCCTCTAGTGGAATGAAATGATGTGATATCTTCATAACAGTAGTGACATGCAGGGGTTTTATCTGGCGAAAAGATAACAAGGAGATTTCTAGAAGGACATCAGAATAGGTCTTTTACTTGAGAAGGGAACTTTAGTTTGATTTTTTTATTTAGAAAATTTGAAATGTGCAAATGTAAGTGTTGGGATTACGTTCAAATTCGTATATTCTGATGAGAGATCAAGCTTGAGACCAAATTCAGTAGGCTCAAATTCCTTATCATTGCGTCGTATTCATTATTAGGTGCGTGATTTTAGTGGACTTTAATTAGATCGAAAGACAAAGCTTAAACTTACTGATTTTCTGGTCAATTATCTAAAAAGAGCATTGCTTTCAAAATACTGGATTTCGAGAATTCCAAACATTTGTTGACAAAAAACTGGTCACCAATGAAAATCTGTCACTTCAATTGAATAGTTTAGGGACTATTTTGAGAAAATTATCGTATAGTTTTGCAAAATATTATGGCGAGTGATGAATAATAGGTAAAAGTTGATAAATAAGGAAAATGTTTCAATTTCTGGTGGGGAAATAAACTGAGAATTATCGATTGCCAGCGGGAGAGAGAGAAGGAGATAGGAAGAGGCCGATCGAAGCATTTTGCAGTTGCATTACATTTCTAGCAAATTCCCATAAGAGACACTGGAGAAATTCAACATTGTATTGGTTTGGGAGCGGATTCGTTTAGGCTTAAATACGGCAAGCTTGGCTTTTATGATAGGCCATGCCCATTCTATGCCAGAGCCTATAGAGTCTACCACGAAATCGATGTTAACTTCTTCCAAGCAAATCCCATTTTGAGTAAAGTGGCAAAGTGGTTGTATTTTGGGCGGTAATGATGAGCCGTATGAATAACTCCGCGTGCTTTCAGTTCATTACAGGTATTATTGGTATTGCTTTGAAATTTTATTAGTCATAAGAGTATCTGATTTTTAATTCAAAGTTACTGAATTAGCATTGCAACTGTGCGATGGCAGCTTCTCTTCCATGCCATTTAAAGAAAAATGGTGGATATTGTGGAAGGAGATCGGAGTGCTCCTGCGATTGAATGAGAAGGAAGCTGAAAAAGAAATCAAACATAGACCTTTTGCTCGGAAGGATCGTGAATATGAAGGAGGATTTCACATGTATGAGACAAAAGAGCTTAGTTTTTCATTTGTTGTAATCTGTATGCCTTTCTCCTGCTTTTCAATCTGCTTCTTGTTCTTTCGCTTCAGATACATTCTAAATTTGAAATCTAATCATACAACCTTTCAATTTATACCTCATTCGCCAAATTGATTTAGCAGCACCAGTACTACTTTAAGAAGATTGAGGAAATATAACGAAGGTGGCTTGAGAGGCTGCACGGCTAATGGACATTGGCATAGAGCAAAATAAGCTTTGTTTCAGAACAATTTTGAACCAGTTTGATCGCAGCATACGATCTTCCATTAATTAATTCTCCCCATTAGTTAGAGATATGCTAACCTTCAATTTGAGGAACAGGTCATTAGCGAGAAAGCATAATCTACGTAGATTGCAAGTAAGTCGTGATACTAATGTTACTTCTGTTATACGGGAAAGTTAATTGAAAAACTTGATACTGACGCAGACGACGTGTATCTTTATTTTGCGTTTTATATAATTGACAATCAGAGCAAGTACGTGAAATCATCTTAGCCACTATTGTATTTCTTATATAGCCTATCAATCATCTCTTCATCTTATGAATGGTTTTTAAATACTTATTTTCTCCTCACAACGTTGGTATAAGATTTTAGGAAACGTTGACCTTCTTAAGTGGCTGGATGCTAACATAGCTTTCTACTGCAAATTACTTCTTCATTTGAACTATTTAGACTGAAAAAAGTGAGTACTTTAGGTAATTCAGTGGTGAACATTCGCCCCGGAACAATGAGTGAAGAAGAGCTTAAAATGAAAGCTTTAAAAGAGTTGCAAACAGCCAAGGATCCTATAGAACGGTTGCGACTGCAATGCTTAGTACGTGGAAATGCTGGGATAAAATCTTTGGGAAGGTTTGTTTATTGGACCTAAAATCGTTCATGATACATAAATTCTTGAATATATTTGGGAGAAAGTGAAGTTTAAAGTTCCCTCCGTTAAAGCTGGTAAATGCAACTTCTGTTTGAATCAAAATTTCACTTTGCAATTAACATCGAGTCTAAAGTTCACTGCATCCAATATGCACGACACATTGATTGTGACTTTTATGAATAAAAGGTATGTCTCTCATCTATTTTACCAGTCATGTTTCGTTTTAAAATTGTTAAATGAAAAAAAAAAATCAAACAAATTTCTTTTCATATTGGAAATCTTTAGAAAAGATATAAAATTCTTTTGAAGTACGAAATGTAATATACTTTTTCTCTCCAATTCTTCGGGAATCTCAGTGATATTTATATTTCCCTTTATCCTCAGTTCTCATTAATAACATATTCTCCCCACTTAATGAGTGAAGTTTGTGTTGAGGAAATGAGGGTAAATTGCAGAAATTCCAACTACAACTTTGATATTCACTGATGTGATTGCATAGATCAAATTTCGTAATATCGAGGTACCTGAAGTGCCAAAATCCAGAGTTAAAATGTGTGTTAAGTCCTATTTATTTAGTACTGCTCTATGCATAAAATTAGCGGATATATCGTGGTAACTTTTAATAATGTTTGTGTAGTATTTCTACACAAACATTATTAAAAGTTACCACGATGTCTATTTGACATTTTGTCTATTTGATTATTTTGACTCTGTCTATTTGACATTCGATGTGTTTGTAGTTCACTTCCACCGAACACTGAGCAGTGATTATTAGCTGACTAACAAAATGTTAAAATATTAATGTTGAATATACAAATATCAAATATTTGTATATTTAATATTAAATATATTAAATTGTTTGAGTTTCGATTATTTTTTGAAAAAAATTTTCAGGTCATTCCGAGTTATGGATGATAACAGCAACCGTACGTTGGATTTTGAAGAATTCAAGAAAGGTTTACATGACTTTGGTATGGATTCAACTGATGAAGAAATTAAGGAGATATTCAAGAAATTTGATAAAGACGGTTCTGGTTCCATCGATTTCCATGAATTTCTTTTGAAACTTAGGGTACGTTAAGTTTATTTATCAAGGTCTCGAAAATTCTTGTGTATAAACTGTCACGAAATCAGGTGAGATCCATTTTCAGACACATACAACTAACGAATTCCGATTCTTCTATAATTTGCTAAAAGCAAGTAGATCGCTTAAATTTCTACTCAAACAATTTTTATCACGTTTATTGCGGGAAAAAATCCCTGTTTGAGGCATCTCCATGACATTTAATATAAAAAGTCCCTAACTGGTTTTTGGTGTACGCTGATTTATTTTTCCTTCCATCAATAGATCAATTTTGAGGCTTGTTAAAAAGAGTTTTGCCAGCCCGAGAGCGGATAATGATTACTGTCGTGTATTCTCTTTTGCAGTATTTTAAAGCAAGAAGGAATATATTCGGAATAATTTAATTAAGGGATGATTATTAGTAGAAAAGAAGCACAGTATGTAATTATATATATCTAAATCTTAAAAATTTTCAAATGGCATCAGAAGTATGCAAATCGAATAAGAATTTAAATTAAGGTGAACTAAAAAATTACAGCCACCAATGTCGAAAGCTCGTTTAACGCTGATCGATGCAGCATTCAAAAAATTGGATAAAACTGGAGATGGCATAATTACAGTGGATGACATGAAGGGTGTTTATCATGCCGAACGACATCCAAAGTATATTTCCGGTGAGAAGACTCGTGAGGATATCTTCAATCAGTTTCTCACTAATTTCGAAATGACAGGACATACTGATGGGAAGGTATGAGATTCAGACTTATGTGATGTTACTATGTGATGTTACTGCTTTTGGATCCTGTCATCGCTGGAAACACTACTAAGTTCCATCAAGAAAACTTGAAAAACTTGGAAGTTCTTTGGGATCCACGATGTCTTAATATGAAAATGAATTTCCTAAAATATCTTTTTTACAGAAAAATCAAGCATGCAAGGTAAAACGATTATTTCTCGAATCTCAGTGATTCAGATGCAGATATTGACACTTCTAGTGGCTTTCACTAGTATATGAACACAGCTAAATGACAAGTTAAATTTGTGCAACTGAAATGCTGCAGATTTTCTATTGCATGCAGTAATTTTAAACTTGAAATCTGCTCCAAAAAGTGCTTTTAATGCGCTTAACATCTATCAATAGATTAAGCAAAAATATCCATACAGTATAATCACAATGAGATGAAATTACACATTTATTTATACTTGTTTCAAAGAATTTATAGTCATAATATTAAATGAAACTGATAGTTCACAGCTTAAATTCTTAATTTTGTTTTCTGGGACGGAAGAAATCAATTTTCAGTTCTTTTGTTCTGCAATTTATAATTTAAGTTTTGCTCCATACTCGAAATATCGAGCAAAGCTCGTGAGGATTTTTGTTGGGATTTTTGAGCCACTACCATTTTAAAAGATTCTAAATTTTCCTATCTAAATGAACAATGTCATTCACATTGGTTTTCCACTGAAGTTAGCGGACAGTTTTTGTTTTCGCTGGACTCAGTTTCTTGAAATAAAATTTTGCTACATCTATATGAGGCAAATCAAACGAGATGCCAAGATGAGAAGATGTTCCTTCTGGCTGTTCATATGCTAACGGTTCACTTTCTCATTCGTGAAAAAATTAGTTCGAACAGTGTCATTTTCAGGTAACAAAAGAAGAGTTTTTGAATTACTACTGCGGTGTATCAGCTTCTATTGATAATGATACTTATTTTGATTTGATGATGCGAAACGCTTGGAAACTTTGACAAATATTATCATTACGATGGTGTCATATCACTGCTTATAGCAATTTTTGCAATAGTATCACAAAATCATTCAATATATTAGTCAGTGAGGGCTCTCGATGATAAAAGATTAACCAGTTTGAGAGATTAAATATAAGCTTTAGAAACCGTGCTGTGATTTACCAGAATCATTTTTCGTTCTTTATTCCTGCTGCATATCTGATATTCTAAAAGCCGGTATATGAAAGATGATTTTGCTGATTAATTTATGATAGCCAGTTCTAAGTATTTCTTTCCATAAAGATTTTAAAAAAGTCTCATCTAATTAATGAAGTTATTATTTTCTTTGGCTGTGCAATTAAATAATTATGTTGTGATAAACATAACTATAGTTATACTTTATTACAGTATATTGTATAGTTATACTGGCACAATGACTCCTATTTCCTACATTTCCAAATAAAGATTGTGAACCTAGTGCTGTCAACAAAATATGTCTAACCTAAGAAAAAAGAAGGCCGATTATCCAGATCATCAGATTTCTTCAAAATGAGTACATGAGGATGAAAGAAAAAATTTTGATCTGACGTGTCAATATCAGATGGGAGATAATATTGACCAGAAAAGCCTAAGCCATTACTATTCAGATCGTTGTTTCCACTGTCAAAATCAACGACCAGTCAGATTCCGTTGCAATTGCTTGAAGTAATATCTGTAAAATTGTCATTAAATTACCAAAATCTTTTCACGGGGACAGCACAGTTGTAGTTTATTTGCATTTGTATGAAACACGTTAAAATAACTGACCTTTGGTCTGATAAATTTCAACGGTACTCGCTGAAGCTCTGTTAGTTCTTTTACCAATACATTTTTCGAATTTTCATGGTGAAGATTTATAGCGTAAGGCAATTTCTGTAGAATGACCAACAATAATGCCTGATTTTTTCCCGGAAAATTTTGTGAGAAGATCTAATCTGTTTATTGTTTGCTATCGAAAAGGTAAAAGTTTGAAAATGCTCTCATTGTAATAGACCGGAGAATATATAAATGCAATCGTGAAAATACAATATACTGTAATAAACTAAGGAAACTGTAACGAAAAGGTTTCCGAGATGAAGAGCAATTTTTACGCCTCAGATGAGATCACAATAAAATGCATTAAGAAGATGAAAGCCAAATAGTACATTTTGAACTGAGATGTTGAAAGCGTACTGTAAAGATGTCTGCATTTTTTAAAAAATTTCTTGAATCATATTGAAAAGTACAAACCATTGGACCAGCTATACAAACTGCAAAATAGTCACATTTCCAAATGCGCACATCAACATCACTATCAATTTCATGACCGTTCTTCCAGAAATAATCAGCTAACGCCGCATTCTCGCTCCCGGTAGGTTCACGTAATTCTACCTGTCCCATATGAACAACTGATTCAGAAAAGATAGTGAGTGAACACGGACAGTTCTGTAATACTTCAGTTTATTTTGGTCTGCGGCACAGAAGTTCTGCAAGCTTAATTCTTTAAAAAATGGACTGAAGTTACTCAGAAGATGAAACTCTAATGATTGTCTCGGGAAAACCAAACGTTTTGTGAATGCTTATATCGCATTGAAGAATGTGACTAATCAGTCGAATAAAAAGGACAATTTGACGCAGACTTCGGCCAAATCAACCAGTCATCTCGTGGCCCTGGATTTAATTTGTTTTAATAGAAGTTTAGGAAAATAAGACAAAAAAAGAAATATAACATTGATCAGATCCAGTTGTTCGTTGTACCCAACGCTCATCAACGTCATCCAAGTGTCTTCCAGTGATGGATCATTATCTGCCTCTATCTGAAAGATATTTAAGCCTTTCCTGCCATTGCATCTCCCAGAATATGGCAGCATATCGCTGTTATCGCTGTTTCAGCCATATGTTGTCATATTGTGACAGATGTGCTTCTTTTCGTCGATGAAAAATGTTACGAGAAACCTGATGAAGGGCCACAAAAGAATTTAGGAGTAATTCACCGTCTTTAGCTTCAAAATTTCGGCAAAGTATTTCCCACTCCTGAAAATGAAATGAACTGATCACTATCCGAAACCAAAAACTGAAATAAGAACCAGCTATTGCTTAATAAAGAATGGTGGTTTGAACTGTTCATGTTTCATTCAGTACAGTATTGAGTAAGATAATGAACTTTTTTTTTTCTACTATTATTTTATGGTCAATTTGTGGTAGCATACTCAATAGGGAAGTTTGCACTAAAACTGGCTGCCATATGCGCTTATAGCCCAAATTTTAAAATAACTTTCAGATAATAATCAGAATTATTGGAGCTACAATGTGTGGCAGATGTTAATAAATATTCTACCACAATCACAAATTGCAGTGTCATTCAAAGCAAACGAATTAAGACAGAGCGAACAATCTGAAATGCTTATTTTTAGCAATCTTAATTCGGGTTCTCTTTTGACTTAACTCCAAAACCAGTGTGGCAGGTCGAGAGACAAAGTTCTTTTTGTGGAAAGAGGAGACGGAAATAAAATACTTGACTCTATTCTGACAAGAAATGTGGACTGACTAAAGAATTCAAATTCACTTTCGTTCATTCTTTTGATATTACCGTAATTTCCTGAATGACGGACGCTTAACGCAACCATTTATGTAATGCATATATTACTGTGTTCAAAGGATAAAAATCACTACCACCGAATAGCTACTAACAGTCAGTGTGCGTTGACCTGTGTTTTAAAACTGTTCAAATGATATTTCTCGTAAAGGCTGTCGACAAACTAACAACTAGTTGATTAAACTGTATAAGAAAAATGGTCGTGAATCAAGGGTAGCCTTTTGTCATCGATTTTTGTTCCCGAAACTAAAACTGCCTAAAATTAGTGGGATAGTGCTAATTATTGATAAGGATATAAGACACTAGGCAAAGTTTTCGAACTACTGTTGGATGCAGAGAAAGTATTTTGACCAACATTAATTATGGTTCTCTTACTGCTGATTATATGCGTGACCCATACGTATCATGTCTGCATACGTATATCAGATTTGCAAACTATATAGCTCTTGATCGCTTGTCTTAAATTCTGTTAAGTGTATCAAAATAGTTAAAATTGTTTTTTTGAATAAGCTTTCTTCAATGCTGATTTTTTTCGATCGATCAAACTTCCCGAATTTTTTTTCAGAAACTCTGTTGTGCTGTCTCACTCAAGTTGGTAGATTTTGATAGCAATGTAAATGATAATTCAGGAGTAATTCTATTTAAGAAATATTAACAGTTCTATCGTTTTTTTTCTTTTAATAAAATCTTGAATCACTAATGATCTCCAAAAGACCCAATAACGAGACAACTATTTCATTCATTCAACTCAATGTTACAAGTAATAAAAAAAATCATCACATATAAAAAATAGCTAGAATACCCTTTGCGCAGAAAACTGATAGCAAACTACCTGATCCAAAACATGTTCATCACTTGCCAGTGTATTGTATATGTCAAATTCCTCTCGACTTAATTTACCGTTCTCGTCGAAATCGAACAGATCAAACATATTCATTAGTGCCATCCTTAAATTTCAGGTTATATTACAATTTCTCAGTTCTGTTTTCTTTTCAAGAAGTTTTTTAACTGGAAGGTTTTGGAATGATTTAAATTATACTTCTAATAGTCATTTTTTATAAATTTAACTGGAAAAATTTATAAACCATTTTCTCATTTTAAAAAATAACAAGTCCTAGTTAAAATGGAAATCTTCAAAAGATTCCGACATTTATTTATCTGAGGCGCTTGTGACACAAATTCTCGAGATAACAATGAGTGATTTGTATAAAATTCACTTTATTTTCTTTTTCTTGAATGAGACAAACTAACTTGAAATGCTTAGTCAGTTTTCCATCTGAGCCCACCAACTTCATTTCATACCTTTTGGAATCCATAACACTCTCCAAACAGCACAGTGTTTGAACACTGATTATATATTCCCCTGCTTTCAACAAACATTCTTCGCTCATATATTTCTGGAAATTAAGCAAAAATTTGAGATTAGTTAAAATTTAAGCACTTATTTTTTCACTAATAATCTATCCAGTTCCATAAACGATAATAACGATAATCGCCTGCACTTTCAAAACGCTTTTCATGTTTTATTAACATAAAAGAATCTTATCAGGTTCATTTAAATTCAAGAAGCCTAGTGTTTTTGAAGATTTCTTTTGTAACGCTTATTCATTTCATTCCGATATCTAAGGACTTCATCATTTGTTCAAAATATTTTTGTGTGTCGATATTATTGCTTGGCTCACTTAGCTCACTCATTTGTTGTGTATCGCTATGCCACAAATAGCACTGGTTAATATGAATGCAATATTTTCTGATTAAAAAATATTTCGCATTGTTTGGGAAAGTTATGCTTAAATGTTAGTTCACTATAAATTAACATCATCAATGAGACTAGTTATACTGGGATGTCAGTATCATAAATACAACACAAAGCAAATTTGATCCTTCTCTACTCATTCCACAAGTTGATAACGTATTACAGTGTCATATATTGATCAGCCAACTTTTCTACTCTGAATTTATCCGCCCCAAATGCAGTGAACTATTTCATTGATATGTTTGCGTCATTTGGATTGTATATCTACTTTAGCTATTCTATCTGCTGACACTCTAGCTCGATGACAGAATCTCCAAGTTTAAACCAGACAAAAGTAATGTATATCTATCTTTCATTATTTAAATAAAATCAATTTTATTCATTAAGTTAGAAAAGATTACATCTTCCACAATCTTCATCGTAACTGTAATTACTTGCTCCTCGACAGTATCATAGAGTACAACGTATATATCATTCTTGTAATTCCGATCTGTTGGCTGATCATCTAAGAAATAGAATTCATTACAAAAACTATCGAACTAACCCAAGATGCAACTAAACAAGCACAAATAAAGTATGAACTAAAAGAAAAAATGAATGTCTTCCAACACATGACAGTTCATATTTGTCGCCATACATGAATTTAGATGGTAAAAAAATTTCTGTCACACTGCCATTTCTCAATTTTTGGTCCAATTGAAAAGGAATTTGGTACAAAAAAATGGACGAATTAATTTGTTATTACTTCACAATTACAGAAAGATGTTCTGAATTGAAGATCTTTATAATCATTTTGCGGAAATTATTGTATTAATCTGAATCAAAAATAATGTGGAATTCTTATCATGAAGTGATAAGATAAGACAGAGCTGAAATATCGCATTTCACCTTCATAAATATTTTTATTGGTTTTATAACTTCTCAAAAATATGTCACAACCTACTGCTTGTCAGTAATTCACACATAATGCAAACAGCTTGTGACTGATTAAGAATGAAATGATAGTTCAAAATGCGATCATCATTATTCATAACGCGAAATGCCCGACGAGTGATCTATAATGCAAGTAAATGATAATTTCATTATTATTGATGCACATAAGATGTTGAGGAAATGAAATTGCGTAACAGTAAGCGAAAAAAGGCTGACCTTTAATTGATAGGTTTTAAAAATAAAATGGTTTAATAGTTAGTATTAAATCATTACATTGATATGTCTTAATCAAAATCAAATGTAACAACCTGTGAGGTGAACATTGGTGTGGAACTATTCAACTGCTGAAGTTTCATTCCTGAAAATGAATGATGCAAAAGGGTTTCTTGGAGTGAACGAAATTTTGGAAAAACTTGGGAATTCAAAATTACAACTCAAAATCTCATTTTTAGACAATACTTTCAGGTAATTTGCGTTGTAAGTCTTCAGATCCTAACAGTTTTTTTGGCATCGCTACTTGTTTGTTGATGAATTCCTGCGCGACAACATCAAGCAACCTGCTCCGACTATCCTCGAATTCATCGAAAAGCTGCAAATATAATTGTCTCTGCTAATTCAGCATTCGGATTTCTTTCTTTATCTCTCACTTTGTAAAAGAATATGTTAAAAAAAAAGTTTACCTAATGTCCATCAAAATTCTTTCGTTTTTTCAAACTCGCATTTTCTCGTCAATTTTATTAGTAACACCTTTTTTTTCCGTCTATACAGATAACTCAATCCCTGTCGTATAGATCGCATATCTTGCATTTTTTTTAGATCAAATGAAAGTACTTGAGACAAGTTCTACGTCATATTTTCATTCTTTAATTCGGTATTTTCACCATTGTATGACTAATATTTCCACTCTCACCCTGGAATATCTCTCCATATCCCAAATTCTAGAATAACAAAACAATCGTCGTCATTTTACAAAACCAAAAGCATGCTAACGCACAGTATTTGTAACATTGATACCAACAATCCATAATTTGAATACTAATGTCATATATATTGGTGGTACGCAATGTGGATTTTTTAATAACTTTGAACAAAAATAACTTTAGAAGCTAAAACAGAATCCTACCGTTCTTATCAGTAATCCCGACAATTTGGAAATAAGCCTATACCTTTCTGCAATCAATTCTTCCATAACTTGCAAATAATTCCAAGAAATCCAACGCTGCTTTTATTTCATCCACATTCAGTTCCTCATCCTTGAAATAATAATCATTTAATTCTAATTCCTCATTTAAAACTTACAGTAGCATGCGTCAGCCATTTTTCTATTGCTGCTTTAAAAATATTGTTTGACAGTATTTCGAAATATTTTTTGGACTTTCTAACAAATATTAGTAACTAATTCGTCATCACAATCAAATATTATGCATCAAAAAAGAAAAAATCAAAATAAGAAAATTAAATGAATTTTAGTTTAATTTCCAAACCTTATTCAGTGATTCGGATAATTTTTCCAACTCAATAAATTGCCCATTCCGCTCGATTTCATTCATACATTCGGTGTTTTGTCCCATTATTTCCAAAAAATTTGTCACTGGCAACTGCTCAAAAACTTCATACGCTTTATTGAACTGATAATAATCTAAAAATAAGAAAAAAGGCTTGTTTAAATCAATCAAATCAAGAATGTTTCCAATTTACAAATTTAGTACTGTGGCAGGTAAAACTTAATTGATTAGACCTCCTTTGATTAATTCATTTGAAAACGCTTTGGAAAACCTTAGCTTGATCATAATGAATGATCACCAGTAATTTACATCATTTAAGTGTTTTTAGCAATTAAGACTGTTCAGCTGGAAAGCGCTAATTCTTGGCACTTGGAATTAATTATTCATTGCGTTCGACTTTTTTACATCCATCTTTCTTACTTTTTACAGTAATTTCTTTTTATAAAACAGAGGGGCGAGGATTCGTTACTTGAAATACTTTTGGCTTTGTTTTGATTCAAATTACTTTTCTTTCTAGATGAACGATTGTTCTTTGTTCTTATCTTTTTTCCAAAAACATTTTCTTAGAAGTCATCAAATCCTTTTTACATTCGAAATAGAATAGAACATCGCGGGAGTAAATCCTAAGGTATTCAAGTCCTTTATTAAATCGTTTAAGTCATCCAAAAATAATTCTATGAAAATCGAAAATTTTTTGATTTGAAGCGATCACCTGAACATTTGTATGTTTAGGTCGTTTACTCTTACAACTACATCAATGTGAAATCCCCTCTCTCCTTTCCCCCCCCCCCTCGCCCCAAATTCTTCCTGAGTGGTACAAATTGAAATTTTCTGAGAAAGAATTGGTTCAGTGCTATTTCATAATCAGCAAAAAACATCGCAAAAGCAGTTGTTGCATTTTAAAATAAAATCAAAATTTGTTGTTACCTGTTTACCAAATTAAATAAAAGCCTAAATAATAACCGATCAAACTAAATATGCTTTAAATGGAGCAATTAAAAGTGGCGTCAAAAGACAACATGGAAGAATCTATTGAATCAATTAATTTTTTTTGAAAAAATTTGAAATCCATTTCTTTAATTATTATAATAATACTATAAGTGACTTCACCGTATGTTACTGACATTTCTTTCTCTTAAGATGTCATAAAGAAGTTACTGCAATATGCAATGTTACTGCAATAAGTTACTGCAATAAGAAGTTACTGCAATATGGAACAAAAGTTCCATATTGCAGTAACTTCTCCAATCAGAAAATCAAAATACTTCCACTTTATAGATTAACATCTGCTATGTTACATATGGTAATAATCCTAGAAAAATTCTCACAAATTAATTTTGTAAAGTCAACGTGAACTGTCGTACTTTGCTTGGTGTTGGCAAGTTTATTAAGGACATTTTCCACCACTATAGTGCTAAAAGAAAAGAGGAAAAAACGTTCCAATGCATCAAGATACAGAAGCATATTCAAATATAAAATGAGATACAATGGCTGAAAATACAAATATTTTACCAGACGATAGCCGATATTAATAAATGAAATCAAAGTGGACAAATTCAAAAAATTTTCACAGCTTTATTGTTAATGTGTTTATATGATAGTTCAAAGTTCATAGAAGATGTTTCTCATCAATATTTTCAAAAAAATCTACCATTTTTACTTTTGCATCTCAATTTGTGACCTCTTAGAAGCATTTCAGAAGGAAAAAAAATTTTAATCTATTTTTGACATTATTTTGTACAATTAACGTATTCCCTTCATTTTTTCACAGTAATTCATAATTTCAAATCACGCGAAAACGTCGGATATTAATTAAGAAGCAAAATAACTTTTTTGTAAGGTTGATATGCGGAAAGTGTTCCGGAACTCTGTGTGCTTTGTAATTCTTGAAGTAAATCTTGAAATCCCAAGTACTGCATGGTACTAAATTATCAGAAGAACTCTGTTAATCTTCTCGAAGATTACTAGCAAAGTGACTTATTTTCATAACTACTTCAAAGCTTTCTGAACAAAACCATATTGTTGCCAAAACAGTGTGACATAGAAAAGAGCAGGAATAATAGTCAAAGAATTTACCTAAATAAACGAAGACTTGATATTTCGAATAAGAAGACTACAGCTTCATGGATTTTGTTGAACTCAGTTTTCTTAAATAATTTGTTTATAAATAGAGCTCTGCCTAATTTATTTAAAAAAATTACCTGTAGCTCCCAAGTCAGATATCAACAAATCTTTGCCAGCAGTGATTACAATTTCATACAATTGTAAACGATTCACAGTATTCCTCATATCTCCTACTTCATTCAAATACGCATCCACGAATCGGCGTTTTGCATTAGATTGCATTAGACTAATTCCAATTAGATACTGTATTATTTCAGTTTATGAAAGTAGAAATCAGTCTGACAAGAAAACTCAGGCTGTGAGCTATTGCGGAAGAATATCTGAAAATGCAAAACAGCTGATGAAATAATTTCAAGTTTTAGACACAATAATCTTATGGAGAATATGTGTTTGCACAAATATTTTTTCTAAACATAAGAAATTAAATTTTTTTGACCTGATTGTTTGATAGACAAAGTTCAGGTTCTGATCCTTTGTTTCTCGCTGTACATATCAGATTTATAGGTTGTTCATTAATGAATGAATATTGAAACTTCTCAGCTGAATGATTCTAAAAATGAGAATCGAAAAATCATTTCAAAAAAATCACTCATTACAAATCTAACTACCGGTATATCTTTAGTATCAAATTTGTACAAGGCGTGTGAAAAGTGAATGATTTTGATAACTCAAAGAAATATTTGAAATTGTGACAAGTGAATGTGAAGAATAAAAAGGGAAATAACGACTGCTTTTACGAATTAGCTTATATAAATGTGTCAAAACGTTGATAATTCGTAACTATGGTAACTGATATTACATGCAGATTTAGAGCTATTAAGAGCACTAGTAAATGATAACAATCATTAAATTAATGACATGTAGAAACGTTTGGAAATAATTAATCTCATAGAAATATATTGGTTCAATTAAATTTCAATAAAGAAGGTCTTCCTGAAAAGCTTTTCATCACATTGGAAATAGAAGCTAATCATTGGGTTTGTTTTTGTCACACACAACAAAAACTTTTAGAGGGTAAAACTTCTTAAAAGTTCCGAGTGATTCGATACAATGCAAATACCTATGCTTGCGTTATTGTATATGAGAAGTGTTGAATACTACAATATATGAGATAAACAATGTTCTCTGTCTCAACAAAGAGGATATAGCCTATTTAAAAAGCTAAATTTTATAAGCAGTTTTTAAGCTTCTCTCACCACGACGACTCATCCCTTTTCTATCTTACCTAACATTAACCAGTCTTCCGTAACGTTGACGTGGATGTGTTCAAAGTTCGTTATATTTGAATGACAGATGTTAGAATGTTCTACACTTCAATGCATACAACTCTTAACTCCTTTAGTCAAAATGGTTGTTAACAAAGACAAAAGCTTCAACTCCGCAGAGCAGTAAAGGTATCCCGGGAGAGTGACAGTTATTTGCTTTTATTACTCTACTTCTAAGCAAATGTAATTACAAATAATTTTCATAGTTTTATAAAGATTATTTAAGTATTATAACGAAGAAATAAAAGCTATAACTGAAGAGTCAAGTGGGAAATTAAAGGAATGAAAAACAGAAAGATTTTGTTTTAATTTTTAAGCCTGCAATGCTTAAAATTAATTAGAATTTGAATCTTTCGAATTTGAATTTGAACTTTGATATCCTTCAGAAATTTAGTTAACTGATTTGGAAAAACGGAAATGACTTTTTCTGTCATTTCTAATTATAAATCCCTAAAGGGTTTATGATATTTCAATTTATCCTGCTGTTTATATTAAAAAAAAGGCAGCCCTAGGAATTAACTTGATAGTTCATAGGCCGAGTAAAGGGTAAAAGAACCCCTTTTTATTTTTGAAAAGAAAAAAAGATCGTTTTTAGTGGTTGCCGTTTTACTTTCTATTTGTCTTATAGACCAGTAAATCTAACAAAACTTTTTTTTTAAATCCATTAGTAGCAGGATGGATTGTTCTTTTAAAAACAGAACAGTTCAAAATGATTTTGGAGACTCCTTTATGATTGTCATAAGCTATCTTAGCAATGCTTATTGTGTAGCCTAACAATCATTCCAAAGTTGTCATCGATTATTGGGAATGGAAATGACTTA